TCCGTGAGGCTGACACTCTGTCTACTTTTAAGATTAGACTGAAGACTTTCCTTTTTGATAAATCCTATAGTTAGACTTAGGTTTCCTGAATTATTCCTTAGTTCTTCTGCTTCAGGCTTCGATTACTGGAGGACAAACTGAGCACATTTTCTCACTCTGTTTTCTTTACTTGCTCCACTCTACATGATGTATTTGTTCCTTCCTGTTAAAAGTTTTTCTTTTCCACAGTTCCCAGTGTGCTGCTCAGGACAGGAGACTGACACAAAAGTTGTGTGCAAACTGCTGACTTGTTTAGATAGATAACTTTTGGCTTTTATAGTGTATGTGAATGTTTTTGTACAGTGCCCTGAAATTATTTTGCTGTGAGTAGGTGCTACATTAAACAAATATAAATAAGCAATGCAACATGCTCCTGAAACAGGCATGTCATGAACACCACCCCAAGCTGTCAGACTGTCCATCAGGTGTAGAAGTGATGTATCCTTTTGCTGCTTTTGTTTTAGTTTTTTCTCCTCTTTTGTGTTTCTTGGTGTCATGATTCAATTTTTTCTTTCATTTTTTTGCCTTCTTCTTTCAACAACCCATACTGCAGATACAGTTTTAACTAAAACAATATTTTCAGAACATTGTTTGTCCATATCTATTAAACAACAACCTGAGAACAAAGAATTCATTGACATACCTGGCCTGGTGTCCTCGAATGTGACTCTGAATAATAATGGCTTTGTTTTTGAAGAATTTAAAGTTTTTCCTGCAGAGGAACCCCCTTATGTTCCTCTGGATGGTGACTGCAGCCCAGGTCTGTGTGCTGTTCCATTTCTCCTCCAGCTGCTGGTACAGTAGCTCCTTGAGAAAAACCTGCTACACAGATGGGTGTCTACTAAGACCTGAGTCACTTCAGCAGATAAAAACAGAAACATGCATGTCACCTTGGTTAGTCCCAGCTGATACTGTCCCTCCTCTGCATCCACCAAGTCCAGTAAAGCCACAGTAAGCTCTGTGTGGGACAGGTCACACAACTGCTGATTCAGCAGAAACCCATACCTGAAACAGGAGACAACAAAGACAGCTGATTTAACTACACACGAACCAGGCAAAAACCTGTTCCAAGTCCTGACTTTTGTTTGTTGATGTTTTTGTTGGTAAAAGGCTAAAATATTTGATTTGAATAATGTCAATTCACAACAAACTAATCTACACAGAAGATAAAAGGAGTCTGATCCAGCACAAACTCAGATTCAGTCAGTTTTTCTGTCAAGTTGCTTTAAGCCAGGGACTCACATGCCTGTAAGTGACTGGTGAACAGCTTTCATGAGGGCATTGTGAAAAGGTCTTGCAATGCTTGCAGGGTTCTCAGGGACTTCGGCTCACATTTTTGTTGATTTAGTTTTGAACATTTTCGTTCGCCAAATAATTGCAGAGTCATCAAGGGTGCCAGAGCATGGGCATCTCCAAACCATCCACAGAGTTCTAGAACAGTTTTGTGTTGTTTTCTAGATGACTGTTTTAAAGAACGTAACTCTGAATTAAACCAAGGAGTCAGCTTCCTCTGATCGATTACTTTCTTTTTCAGAGGAGCAATTTTGAGATTAGTGTCAGAAATTTTCCTAAATAAAATAGGAAAAGTCATAAATTTGTGAGGAAAAAAACTTTCCATGATTAAAGGCAAATTTTTTCTACATTTAAACTAAATATTTTCTGACATTGTAAATTCAGAAATTTACAAGAAAAAAAATTGTTTTCACGAATGGCTAAAAGGCGACTCCACCTGTGTTTTCATTACATTGAGCCCCTTCTGCTCTTGATTAAAACTAAAATACGTCGAGACTTCAAACCTGGATTAGATCATTCTGAACTGATAGCAGAAAATGTGTGATTTGTGAAACATATATTTGATTTGTGAAACTTCAATATAAGGGGATTTGAGCACTTTTATGCATTTTATGAACAGATCATGGTCACATGAAGAGGTAAGAGAATTAAGCCTCATCTCCATGAGTGTGCTTGTACGCAGCTCTGCTCGGCTTGACCAAATGCGTCTCCATAATCAACTGTCTCTCGCTACCACAGATCTTACATGGGGGTTTTTGCAAAAAATAAATAAGAAAAATTTTTAAAAGAAAGAAACAAAGCAACGGCTCCTGATGATGAGCCGGCTCTCAGAGCCGAAATGTTTGCAACCGACCCAGCACTATTTCCAATCAGCTCAGCTGCTCGTCAAATCTTAGTAGTCTTAGTTCTATTGGTTCTACTGGTTTCTCTTTAACTTATACCACCTTATGAAAAGTTTGTGCAACACCAAATATATCTGAGCTGAAGATGGATTTTAAAAAATATACTGGAAGCCTCTTTTGGACCTTAACATACTGTAATACCAGCAAATCAAGTATCAAACATATAGCCAATATGAGAGTCATAACATTTTAACAAGTCAGCATAAGTTGTCTGAAATGGTATAGCGTGACAGGAATCTAAGATTGCTACCTCATCTTTTTTTCTTGTTTTATATAAAAAGTGGTGTCACACTATAACATTGTAGACAACTTAAACTAACTTATGAAACATTTGTGCAACACTAGATATGTCTAAGTTGAAGAAGGAATTTAAAAAATCTACTGGAAGCCATTTTTTTGGACCTATACATACTGTAATGCTAACAATTAGATCAAGCATATACAGCTGAAGCCAAGGAGGTTCTATAGAACAGCTGGAGCTCAGAAACCAGGTGACCCTGTGATCGGCTGGTGAAGCTAACGGCTAACGCTAAACAGACAAGACTCTGGATTTCCCATTACTGTACATGTTGACAACAGAGCAGAAAAAAAAGGACTGACGATGTAGAAATCATTAAAACTATTAATAATGATACTAACC